GTTAGGGCTCAATCGATGTAATTTTTAGCTCCAAAAATTTATTTAGGAATCTATGTAGGAAAATTCTTGTTTTCAACTCAGCTAACGATAGAATCATTAATGATTCATAGCAGTCATTTTGTAAATCTGGCATTTCAGCTTTTTTGTTTGAAAAAAAAACAATCTGGCCTGGCAGTGCCCTTCGAACAAATGTAAGAGATTGTTTTTAAAAGCATTGCAAATTTCACTTAAATGATTTATTTTTCAATCTTCAGTTGGCTACCGTTTCAGCACTTTGTTTTAATGGATATTTTCGCATTAAATTGCACAATTTTTTAATAAAAATTGTCCTCTTGTATGCTTTTCTATTCTCATTCATGACAGCAACTAAGGATGGATTCTTGACTTATCAGCAACTTAAATTACACGTTTGAGAAGAACTGATTTATTAAAATATTTTTACTATAATAACAGAAGACTGACTATTATATAAACATGAAGTAAGTACTGAAAATTAATAATCTGTACAACAGATACTTAAGTTTAAGTATTAAAAAGAATATTTTGTGATGGAACTTCATTGTAAGTTCTAGATGGAAAAAAGCATATATCTGGTAAAGACATTACCTTCAGCTTGCAATATTATGACGCTATCAAATTTCTGTAGACTTTTTATTTTGTTCAATTAGATGGATAAATTATTCTAGAGATTTTTTTAGCTGATGAAAATGTTTCAATAAAAATGTTTTTGAATAGCAAAAAGTAGCACTAAAAGTATAGGGAAAAATCATTGTTCTGTTAAAGTTAGTCAATCGAGTCAATAAGTTTGTTGATTGACAGTAAGAATAATGAAAATGTTTGATAACAAAAGAAGTAAAGTTAAAAGTTGAAAATAACAAAATTGTAGCAGCGATCGGAAGAGAGGGCTTCTAGCATGATCTGAAATGAAATGGAATGAAATGAAATGAAATGAAATGGTATTTAATATGTAGCTGGCAAAGAATTGTGAGGCAGACAGAAAAGCAATACTCGTAAAATACCCATTTTCGTTAATTCAACGTCACAGAACCAGTGGTAGTAAAGGAATAATGGAATTGTTAGTAGTGTATCAACGAGGTAATCAGGAGAACTACGACATCCTAGCATTGCTTTCAGCAATGAAACTGATGCCCTCACTCACCTGATGGCGATATTAACGATAATGATGATTGTAATGATGGTGGTAGTTGTATGGTAGTAGCAGTTGTGGTAGTAGTGTTGTTAGTTTTGATTATCGATGATGGCGATAATGATATAGTTTGAATGTACCATCAACAATAATGATACTAATTTAAATTAATCCGATTGGCCTCCAAGGAAAAAATTACACTCTCTTTCTATCATATTTTCCTTCTTAAATTATTATACCATTTGCTAGGAATTAATTGAAACTCACAAATTATTTCTTTTCAAAATAATAATGTCAACACTAAAATTAGCAGAGTAATATAATTGTAAACGATATGAATTTTTGAACTTTGACAAATGATTATATTTATCAACGTCGATTAATATAATCATATCAACATTTTCAAGTGAAAAAATTGTAGTAATTATATGTTTCCACAAAGATATTTCAAATTAAAGCCTTTTTCTTAGCAATCAGATGTGGTGATTTTCAGTCTGATTTGGTATACTGTGTTCTAGTTTCACTATTTGAAGATTATATTTCTGTCTTTTTTTTACATTTAATAACTCGCTTGATTTTTACCTGTATATCCTGCAAATAAATATACTATCTTTCACATCAATATTTTTAAAAAAATTACACAACTTTAAGTCTATATGTATATTTTGTTACTTTCTTTGCTCTTTCAGATAATTTGTGTGTTTTAGCAGGTTTGACTGCAGATGTAAGAAGTCAAATTGCATTATAAAAGCTATTAGAATTTCTTAAAATTATGGATGTCAAAGGTATACCTAGAAAGAACAAAAGTGCCATGACACTTAAATAAAAAATAATAATTTTCTTATTAAACTTTAATTGAACTTTCTGTATTATTTTCTTATTTGTAAATCTTAAAATCAGTAAAATACTTTTTTGATTACCCACTCAAAAGTTTATAAGTGAAAAATAAATTGGAAGACACGATTGAAATTAAATTTGAAATGCTTGTTACTAGCGTCAAATTTATAAATACTTAATGGCTTCATAAGATTTTTTATTTCAGTTATGGTGCTATTTCAGTTATTTAGAAATTATTAGTGTTACTATGCTTCTTAATTTAATGAATTCTCAGCAATAACTTTAAAATTTATGATTTAGTATTATTTCTCACTAAAAAAATACAAAATTTCAGGTGATTTGAATGAGAAAGATAGCAGCCAAAAATTAATAAAATGAATAATCAGTTTCTTTGTTAACTATTTCCTGTGTGCAGTTTTTAATATAAAACTCTAAAAATTTGATAAATTACACAAAGTTAAAAAATTACATTTCTGGCGCCTCACTCTTCCGTTTTCCATTTTGTTATATCTCTCAGTACAAAAATTTAATCCTCATTTCATTTTTGAACACGGACTTTATGGCGCCCAATTTCTCACACTTTTTCTGCCATCTCTTTTCAATTTGTTGTTTAGGCATACATACAAATAATATATGTACATATACATGTATATGTACATATACTTGTATGTATATATATATATATACATATTCTATTTTTCTTCTTGTTCCGATCTATTCAATTCACCCATCATTGATTTTCAATGCAAAAATAAAAAAATTTACTGCCATAATATCCATTATTGTCATGTCCCTCCTCTTTTGCGCTCAACTTTTCTCTGCTCGTACCTGTGAAGGTGTGAGAGGCCTTTTATTCATTACTCCTCCCCCTCTCTCTTCTCGTTAATTTGTTCAACCGTACTTTTCATGGCGAAATGAATGGAAACGATAACACAATTTTGTTTGTGTATATGTCGTCTATCTTTCAATTTCGTCCTCAATTTGCCAAATTTTTGTTAGTTCTTTTCTTTGCTCTTATCGTTCATTACCATTTCTCAAATGGCCCATTCATTTTTGTTAACTTTACTTCTTCTCCATCTTCTCCTTTTTGTATACAATATTCAATACTTGTCACTGTATGAATGAATGCCTGAGAGTAAAAATGCCTTCTAACACGTTTCTCGCAGAATCAGTCCTAATTTTGGATTACTTTTCGCAGCCTTCCTTCTATTCAATGTTGCCAATTTAACGCTTTCTTCATCGTTAAATAAGATTGCCAATTGAATGGTATAAATTTGATTTTTAGCTGTGTATTATTCTTCTGCTTGTTGCACATTAAATGCCAATAATCATTTGTTTAATGACTCTTTTAATATGTAATTAATTTAACAATGACTTTTTTTACTCTATTTTTTGGACGGTAATGTTCATTTGTTTATCATTCTTTAGATTGAAATCCATATCAAAACAGTTTTAGCAATTAGCATTTGGTACTGTGAAGTAATTTAATTGGAAATCCATAATTTATCAAATAATTTGGCTAATCTCATGAAATTATAGTATTCTTCATACATTTTCCTCGTGCACCAATGTATGAGTTAGCGATTTCTTAATAATGCAACATATCTATACTACAAATTAACTACAAATTTTGCCAGCTAGCATCAAATTTATGGCATTTTAACTATAATTTTAAGCTTTTTAATTCAAAATTCATTAACGCTTTCTTCTTGCACTGTCTTACATAAAATTGATTAACTATAAAAGAATCAAAACTTTCGTACAGACAATTTTAATAATTATTACAGGTGTTGCGAAAATTTTTGTAAAAATAAACAGAATGTTGAGTAAGAAATAATTTCAAAGTGGATAAAAGACTTATTGTACAGTTTGTAACAGTTTTTGAATTCAATGATCAACAAACATTTTGTTCCAAAGGTTGAATTCAAAAAATTTATTGTATTGTTTTCAGAAGCAGAACAAATGTAAATGCTAAGGGTGGTTGAGGGTTTAGAAGGTGTTTTAATTTATTAGTATTATGAATTAGTTCTAAAATACTACTACCAACTGCCTCATTTTACTTAATTGTAGTCGTAAATTCTGTTAATTTACCAGCATTAACGCATAAAATATTATTTATCACATCTTTTTCTACCGCAGTAATTTATGGATTAATTTTTTAGGCAAATTTTTTACAAGTAATCTTTATCCATTACCTGCCTTATTTTCTGCGAAATAAATCGTGAAAAGTAGACTAAAATCATTAGTGCAGCTTTAATTGCTAGATTGAAATACGAAAATTCCAGGTATTTCTTTTTTTCTTACGTAGCAGAAAAAACTTTAATAAAGTAATTTGACTTGCATATTCAATAAATTCTGCTTTTAAAAAATTACTACTTAAAATATATTTGATGAAAAAAGTTACACGTTGTAATAAGTGTTACTGAAAAAATTCTAATTATTTTAATTTGTATACATCATAAATTGAAAAAATTTGTCCCTTGACGCAATAAATGTAAGCGATTAAGTTACACTTCATAATAGTGCTTAATTTCAACTTCAAATTAAGATTATTTTTATAAAAGGCAGGTGCGAAATTTTGGTACTGATCGCTGTCTAATAATTTTATTTATTGAATTTTAATTTTTATTATGTCCAAATTGCTCAATAAAATGCTACTACATAGCACTAAAAGAGTTGTGAAAAAGTCATTTTAAATTTTTATGGAAAATGAAGTTCTAAATTATCGTTTTTACTACCATATTTTATCGCTATTACAATATTTCTGGTACTAATTAGTACTATTACTACAACTGCTAATTATAATACTAATAATTACCATAATAATTATAACTATAATTATTGTAAGCAGTATTTTCGTTTTCCGGTCACAAATTTACAAATATATTAAATGGTCTCAACTGCGAAATCCTTTTCATCTTGTCTGTGCTTCGATCAAAATTTTACGTTTCTTTTATGTTTTAGCATTTGTTATGAAATACTAAAATTTTCTTCATAGGAGTAAACTTTACGTGAAATGGTGCTCATTTTTCGATCACTAACTCACAGCTTTTGGATTTCTGATTAAATTTTTCAGAGAAAGGCTGGCCAATCAACGTTTTAGTTGGTGAACGCCTACAGAAAAGAAAAGAGAAGGAAAGTGCTGTCTGCAGGTGACGAGAAAAATAAGAAAGACTATTGAATTTTGGAGAGAAGAAAACATTACTTTTTTCGTTGATTTTCTGAGATACGGTAGCTAGAGGCATTATATGCGTCCTGCTGGTTTATTCGTACTTTGCATAAGACAAGCAGCACCAGCAACATTTCAACATTGATAGTAATAATAGTAATTATTGGTATAAGTAACTAAGTAAGCGAGACTATCTACATCCATCCATCAACTGTGATTGGTATATTGCTGCGGGTGATCAAATCTCTGGTGGTTTGATGAGAATCCATTGGTGTAGCGAAGAGCAGACCAATATGAATGCACCGAGTTTATCTACAATGGGTTTTGAGTTCCCTGCTTCGGGATCAAGAACTTTCCAGGATGCTGCAGCATCAGCTGCTGTTGCAACAGCTACTATGCCTAATGATGATCACTTGCAACGATTAGCACAGATGACACAAGGTGTAGGTCACACTAGCTCTTCTTCCACAACTACTAAATCATCCGATTCCTCTGATAGTAATGATCTAAACTCAACAAGTACAGCTCAACCGGATCCAACTTTGTACCAAAGTGCTGCTGCCGCATATGTACAGCAATACAGCAACTGGCCAAACTATTACCAGCAATTTGGGCAACCGATGAATCCTGCTGCAGCTGCGTTTTCTGCTTGGCCAGCACAGTGCTATGCACCTCCACATTGGCCGAACTATGGTAAGTTCTGTTCAATTACTCCTCAATTTTACTACTTCATTCAAAAGTTCTGTAGTCTTTTATCTGCATGGTGTGCATCTATTGTACGTGTATGTATTTGTATGCGTATGTACTATACCATTATTACAGCTCATTATGTATCCTTTTATACTTCATTTTACTTAATTGACCATAAATTTTTATTTAATACTTTTCATATGTCTTCTTCTAGCATACACATCCATGCTTGTTGCTTCAAGCAGTCACGACAATAGATCATCAAGTAATGAGTCATTAATTTTTTCTGTGCTGCAAAATGCAACTTATCCACAGATAGTTTGACTGTTATTAGCTATTCAGACTTGTATCATTACTACTTTCATTACAATATTTTATTTGAGAGTTATAATTTTCATTTTTTATTTTCGAATTGCAAATTACAGTACATATTCTTTCAAAGCAGCTTATCTCAGAAAAATAGCTTTTACTTATGTTTCTACTACTTACGATTCATTTGAGATTCAGAACTTTTTTCTTGAATGAAGCGTCAAAATTATCTCTCATGAATTTTGAATTTCATTTTCATGAACTCAAGAAATTTAGGATTTTTAATCAGTTTGGGTGATAAGAAAGTACACTATCATAACCATTGTTATAATGATGTAAAGTTGCATGTAAAACCGAATTTTTCTTTAATATGACTGCATTTTAACTTAAATTACAAAGGTCTTTATGGTTTTTTCCTCAAAAATTAGGATTTTCTTACTCTTCCAGTATGACATCCTTAAAATTCTACTTCTTATGACATAGAAATTTATCAAAAAGTTTCAATAAGCACTCTTTGTGTTATTTCAAATGAGTTACTTTTTGAAGGAAAAATAAAATAAATTGTAGTAGAATTTTGTTTGATGTAAAATTGCAGCGCAATCAAAGAAAGGTCGTCAAACATATCAACGTTATCAAACGTCTGTTTTGGAAAGCAAATTTCAACAAAGCAGTTACGTGAGTAAAAAACAACGTGAAGAGCTGCGATTACAGACTAATCTTAGTGATCGTCAAATCAAAATTTGGTTTCAAAATCGTCGTATGAAAGCCAAAAAAGAAAAGAATCGTTGCGAAGAGCAAAATGAACATTCTGCTCTACTTCCAGCCAATCCACCAAAGCAGCAATTAGTTGTTGACAGTGCAGCAGCAGCTGCTGCAGCTGCTGCGGCTGTAGAAGATCGCGTGGATAAAAAAATAGTCACAGGCGGTGGTTGGTGCATGCCAGCAATGCCAACAATGCCTCAACCATGGCCTAATCAAGTACCACCTCATCCTGCGTCATACGTACCATATCCTATTTGTCCACCTAATATATAAATTATTTTATTCTTATGGGTTTTATTAGACTTTTTGTCTATTTCTGATTCATTTTATTGTGTGCTATGAATTATTCTATCCATATTTCTTTATTATTCATTTAATCATTATTGCCGGTGGTTTAGCTAATTACTAAAATTATTATTAGTGATATTGTTATCAATTAAACAACTTAGACTCTTAAAATTAATATAATGTCTTACAAAAAAATATTTTAGAACGAAATTTACAGCATATATTTGCAATAAGTAAAATAGAATAATTTAGTTTTGTAATCATTTCATAATAAAAGAAAATATTTTTTTACTTTTAGATTTGGTAACATTTACCAATTTTAATCATTTTTAAAAAATTTGTGTTTTAATTTCTATTTCAAGCATTTGGTACTTTTTTTGAATTTGACAGGATTGCATGTCTATTGTGGTTATAAATTTTTATTTTGATTTACAATTAATTTGAATACTTTGTGTGAAAGTGTTATTTTGAGCGCCTTTTCACTTTTAAATGAATGAAGCTATGAATGACAAAACACTTTTCTCATCTACAATTCAACTATTCTTGGCATGCATAATAAAAGTTCTTCCGTTAACAATCAGATTTCATATTTTAATTCCAATTCTAAATTATTCAATCCTTGCTTTATTCTGAGTAACAACCAGTTTTATTTTCAATATTTTGAAATTTTAAGAAGATTCATAATTGTCATCAACACAAATAATTCATATGCATATTACGATGTATGCAAGCAGTAGCGTACTCCAAATTTTAATCATTCAGTTTTTAAGCTTTGCTAGTTTGTTGAAAATTTTGATGCTCTTTTGAAATATTTTTTATAAAAATTAAAACAAATTAAATTTGAAAATTTAAGATTTTTTTAACCATTTCAAAAATTGAATAAATATTTTTTTTAAAAATACTGACTTATATATAACATAACAAGTATGATAATTCCTGTACTCTTCTCTTGCCTTCCAGCAATGATCCTGCAAAATAACCAAAAACAGGCATTCATTGCAGATAATTGTAAGAAGAGAGGAAGGCAAACGTATAGTCGTCAGCAAACATTGGAACTTGAAAAAGAATTTCATTACAACAAATATTTGACTCGACGACGACGGATTGAGCTGAATCGAACTTTGGGCCTAACCGAACGACAGATTAAAATTTGGTTTCAGAATCGGCGAATGAAAAAGAAAAAAGAGGATAAGGCTAAAGAAGAGTACAGGAATTTGCATATATTTCAAAACTGATCTCTGAAAATCCTTTATTCCCAACACTACAAATTTTGCTTTTTTCTTTGCATTACTTGTTAATGGAATAATTTGCATTTTCCTATTCAAATGCTAGTTAGTAATTTTCGATTGCACATTTTCAGTCTTATCTTTGATTCAATATTATTCACCTTTCCTAACTTATTTTGATTCCAATTATTCGAATAATGCAGTATAGCTAGCAGTATTATCATGTCCAAGTCCAAATTTTAGTTAACATAATTCGAGTAATTTTCATTGTTAAAAATCATTTTTGAAATTTTTTTAAATATTGCATAAAACAGTGTGCGAATGCACAAATTTATTAAAATTAAAGCTATATATTCGTTATATTAATTGCACATTTATATATATCGATGTTTTGCACGCATTACAAAAAATAAGACCTTCGCATAGCCAAAAAAGCTTTTTTCATTTTTTTTACTCAAAAGAAACTTTGTTTACTGAATAAATGACTACGACAATCAAAAATCATACCTGTCACACAAGAAAAGAATTTTAAGGAGACTGAAGTGATCAAACTAGCCCATCTGCCCTGTTTACAGTAGACAATACAAATTTTAAAACACACAAGACCTGCACTCAACACCCGTACAAAACTTCATACCAAATTTTAAAAAAATCATTGCTAAAACTGCTAACATCGGAAAATATGAAAAAGATCTGAAGTAATTTGTCATAAGATCAAATTAATTCCATCCATTTTTCCTGTGCAACGATGAAGTATCTATGGACATAATGGAAGCCTGCTTCTTTGCAACACTCGGGCCATCTAAACTTGACTGAAAAGTCCTTAACAATTCATCTCTTTTAACAAGGAATCTCAGAACTTGCAGCTTCGGGCTGAAATTCATAAACGTTCCTCCAGTTTTTATTCTAATAAAACATCTTCAACACGCAAGTAATCACAAACCTTTCCCGTCAAAAAAAAATTCAATCAAAGCATTCGTGACTAGTCATTCAAAATTCACTATTCAAGACATTTCCCAAATAATTACAATTCATCCTTCTAATATTACCATGTTTTACTATCCAAAACTAAGAAAAACACTCTTTATTCAAGTTGAAAACATTTAAGAAAAACATCAGATCAACACATAGAAGTAGAAACTTATTCAGTCCCTCCTAAAATAAAAGAATGAACACAGAGCTAATCCAAACATTGGCAAAGCATTCAACTTCAAAGCGATGTCCCACACACCACAAAACCAGAATTTTGCATGTGCCTATTTTCATCTCGTAAACTAGCCCATCTGTCCTGTTTGCAACCCATTAAAGTCACTTCTATTCCCAATAATTCTATTTTTTCCCATACAGTAACCCTAAAAACCAAATTGGAGTAGCGCTTTCATTATTCATGAAAAATTTGCATAGTTGCTTTCGATCAACAAATAGAAGTAGAAACTTAGGTTAATAGTGACGAAAATAAAAAGTTTTGGATAAGAGAAAATAAAAAGTTTTAGATAACAAATATATTGCAGTACTTGAAGAAGACAGAGAAATTATTGAAAAATGAAAAATAATGGTGAAATAAAGTTATGGGGATTGTTTTTCACATGAAATTTTCAATGTAGTTTAAGAAGTATGTGAGAGAACAGCAATGTTGATGTATGAATAGATGTCTGTAGAAAAAATGACATTTGTGGGATTATTTTTGGATTCAAATATAAAGGAGTTATTCTAAAAAAATTCACGACGAGAAAATAATTGATAAACAATAGCAAAACCAAATATATGCAAGCTGATATATGAGAAGAATGAAAAAAGACGATTCAATCATTTATTTTTTCTAATCACTTCTGGATTGACATGGATATTTGTGCTTACTGTTCCATCAGCTAGACACGTCTTAAGTTGCTCCAATAACAACAATGCATTCTCATTGGACCCACCTATACGCTGTTGAAGTTCCTGAAAAATATCATGCTATTTTTAACAACTTGACAATTTAAACGACTAATCATTTCTTAATCCTAAATTATATTTTTATTTAACACCATTTTGTTACCATCGTTGTTTTCAAACAAAGGACCAGAGATAAATTAAGCTTTTTGTTGAAGCAACATTATTTAAAAAAACATGCACTAAAAATATTTTTTACATCTCACAGCTTATTTCAATAATCACCTTAATCATAGAATACTGAAAGTCTATGAAGTTTTCAAATGAAAATACAAAAAGTTTTATAATGAAAGTATCCTTAAAATAAAAATATCCGTAAAATCAATATGAATGCACAGCGCACATGAATTTTTTGGCAAAATTCCTTTAATAAAATTATTTATAAAAGTTGATTACGCTATTCACTATTTTGCTGAGAGCTTTCATGATCAAGATCTTACTTTCTAATAAATTAGTCGTCCTCTGAGTCAAGAATGATATTAGATAGTTCGATATTCTGAGAGACTCTATGAGAAGGATGAAGCAAACCCCTGCGTTAATTCAGAAGATTCCATGATTTATAAAATGGGATCAAAAAAGGGGAAAAAGACCGATCAAAAAGCAAATAAAAAATTCTATCAATTATAGTCGCATATTAAACGTATTAATTTATTCAAAAACAAACTATTTTCTACCACTGCGACACAGAACTGAAAGACAAAATAACTAATTTCATGATAACAACATCAAGAAATAAATGCTAGTGGTGGTACCAATTATTCCTAATTCATAATTAGAATCATAAAATTTAATAGGAATATAGAATCTTATAAGCACTGATGCAAAGTAATTCAAAGGGTGCATATAAATGCACCCTTTGAATTTTATATGCACCCTGTTCAGAAAAGCTATAATATAAGGCTATCTAAGTGAATTGGTCAAAATTTTCCTAACCATAAAGAATATGAAAAAAGTTACGAAAAGTAATGTCCTAAAGAAAAGCACCTAATAGTTGATACCTATATAAACTAAATAAATCACTTACACGAAGTTTGCCAAGATTTAATCATATGTACATGATTTGTCTTATTTTAGAGTTCTCAGTAAAGTAAACCAATTCAAATAAGCAAATAAACTTCAAATGACAAACTATAGCTGACTGCTATTGCCCGCTCAAATAATATGAAATTAGCATTATGTATTTAAATCCAAGCCGTTACCAAAATTAAGTTGCTTGGAACACTTGACTCGAACTGTTTATTATTTCCTTGACCTCGCATAATCTGCAATTCCCTCTGATGAAGCTGGTTTCTGTCAACATAGTTTTCCTTGAATCCCGAATACTTGTTTCTTAAATAGAAGAAATTGTTATACACTTAGCATATTGAATGTAATTTCCTCTAATAATTGAGAATGGAACAGAAAAAATTATGTTTGGAGCATCAAAAGTAAATGAAAAGCATAATATACAGCTTAACTAGCCAAAACAAAATATAAATAGTCTACAAATAATGAACATGAAAACTACATTTTGCATGATTTCCATTATGTATAGATATTAAACTGTTATCTTGCATACTCAATTGAGGACGAACTTGAGCTAAGCTTTCGTAATTGCTATAATTATGCATGAAATGTATGATATATATGCAACATCAGAGACAAACCTCTCAAATTCCACCTCATGAAGTGGTACATTATTCTAATGCGGAAACAGAGATCTCGTACATCTAATATTTATCAATCTTTACTAATGAAGTCAGAAAGCCTTTCATTCAGTTTCATGACAACTCATGTAACTACTTGGATTACATACTTTCATTCACAAAGAATATCACTACTACGGAAGAAGATACGCTTGTAGAATGTTGACAGATTGTTGAGAACTTGAAATTTCTAAAAAAATTTATGAAGATACATATTTTTAGTAAACTGAGTATAAATTAAGATTCAATCCTTACTGCTTTGAATGTATCGCAACATCAGCATATCGTTTTCTTTTCTTGAGCTTTTTCTGCAACATAAACAGCATTAGATACAATGAACAAACTAAAAGTACAAAATAAAATGGAAACTCATGGGCTTGAAAAGCCCTGTTTACTGTATCATAATTACTGCGACTCAAAAAATAAATAAATTACTACCAGATGTTCAGCACTTCCTCTCTCGCTTTAATGGCATAAAAAACCAAAAAATAAAATAAAATAAAAAGAGCTCCTAATTACAAACATAATGGATTTCAGCACACCTTTCGCAAAACGAATTGGTGGATTATAAAAGAAAAAAATCGAAAAATTCATTTTTCATCTCATAAAAGTATACTACCTCTTACTTTTCTCCCTCTCCCCTCTAAACTCTCAAATACCTAATCAATTAAGGCAAAATTTAGCAAAAGTGATAAAAACATTGAAGATACAAATATGTCTTGATCGATATCAATTGGAAGCGCGATTTGGATAATACACGCCATTATATGAATAACACATAACATCAGAAAATCAATTACATGCCATCTTCTCTATCACCAGCGTTTCATTCAATTTCAACCTGGATGTTCATCTCGCCGGTGCCATAGTGCACCCAACAAATCTAATTGTTTAATTCATTTATGCCAAAAATATTACTAATTATCGTTCTATAACTGATGTTACACTATTTCTACACCTTCAGATATAATTCTTACTGAAGTTTATAAATTGTTCGCAGCAGCAATATGAAATAAAATGTAAACTGATTTTCTACATAACTTCTGTCAACATAATTCGTTCAAGTTACATCGCTAGAGCACAGCAAAGAGCAACAATTTTGCGCTTGATTTTTTGATCATCACAATGCAGTGTACCTAATTCTTCAAACTACCTGGGCAAGAAAAACGATTATTGTGTTTATCTCTTAAATACCGTACTTTAAAGTTGACATGGTATCTGAGATAAAAATGTGATGTAATAATAGGGCATGTAGCAAAGAATGTTATGAGAGAAATAAGATGAAATGAAGCCATTGCCTCAGCACAGAAAGTAGCTAATTAACAATAATGTAAAGAAAAGGTATAAAAATCATTTGACAAATGCAACAGATGGAGCTGATATGTACGTTTG